GGTACCTGGTCTGTCTATCAAAGAACTGTGCCCTTCCTCGCAGCTGATTCCCGACGCCCTTAGACAAGTACGTACTCAAATAGTGTTACCTTGGTATTGATGACGTTTGATATCAGCTCGATGATGGCCATGGGACCAAGTGTTCATTCATTACCTATTATATCTACTGCTAGAATCCGTGATCATAGATGAATTCATAGTAGGGAGATGATTGACCGGGAGACTAACAATAACTCTCGCGTCTCTGTAGATCTCCTTCCTCTCTTTGTACTTATCGCTGGAGCAAGCAACATGTGCCCGTATCGAGTATTGGTATTGTATATGTATTAGATTCATTGGCTCTAGCGGTAGCTACCTGAGTGATACACCACAATGGGTCATGTAACTAACCCCCTTTAAATCTTTGAACGTACCGAGCATAAGCTATACCGTGGATCAAACAGAGTCAAGGCAATTGAGACATCTCCAGACCTGTAACTATTCATACATATCCGGGCTTCAATCGAGGCATATCTGGACTGAAAATCACTTTGTAAATTACTTTATAGATTTGACTGATGTTCATGAGAGCAGGCTGCATAGCAGATCTCAGTCAATTAGCCACGTTGGAAGAGGAGGATATCGCTAGCTCGATTGTCAAGTGATATTAGAACAACGTCTCCTGCAGGTACAGCAAACCCGTTGTTGCTGGTGCAAAACTGTTCGTTGTTACTAGGATTTCCAGATTCCGGAGTACAAAGCCGACCGCGTTCATAATCCCCAAGGGTTCGCTCATGACAACACATAGAAGTTCGATTGAACCACTGGTACCATTATCATCACCAAGTGCTTAGACTGAAAATTGAAATCTGCTTATCATGGGTATTTTGTGCATATATAAATTCCTCACAAATGCCAAAAAACTCACGCCCAACCTTTCCACAATTTGCGCCAAATTTTCCGCGGGCTCCCACTGACTACCAGGCAAGCATACAATAAGTTCGATATCATATAAATATAAAAGACTATTGTGCTGCCGCAACACCAATCCCATTAACCAAATCCGCCCCAATATGACCCATTTATGCCTTCTTCTTCAAAGCAGCTTTCGCTTTGGCAGCCTTCTTTCTGTTGCTTCTGATCATGACCACACTCAAAAAGGACCCGACGACGGCTGATGCCAACAAGATAAGGATGACAGGTATTCTGATTGCCCAGACTCGAGGAGGGAATACGTTTTGGAGAGGATGATCGGAGTCGACGAATGGCTGGACCCGACAGTTAGCTTCAAACCCCTTTCTTGATGAGGGCATAACATCCGTACCATAAGTAGTGTCCAGGTGGTGTAGTAGAGGAAGACGACGGAAGCAGCGACAAGCATCGCGAGGCCAACGAGTTGATCGAGCTGCGAATGTTAGCATAACTTTCAGCGCAACTTGCGAGAAATCAGCTACACGCGCGGGTTGGATATATCTTACCATTGTTGCAATGGAATATTAAAGGAGTGTGATGAAATCAACGCGAACACCGAAAGCTTGAAGGTTTGAGAGGTGTGCCTTTTCCTTACTTTCTAGAGTGAATATCGTAAAGAAATTGAAGACAATTTGATTGTTCAAATGCACATGAGAGCTTCCTTTCCCTGTCAAGTCAATCTGGTCTTTCGTAATACAAGGGGGAGTGGTGCACGGCTCTCATCTAACAGGTACAATAAAAGCTACACATGACTTATGTAAGATTGAATACTAGACAGTACAATGATGTTTTGCAACTGTTTTATTGCAGATTGTGCGAAGTAAACTGAATGCTGTACCTGTCTAGATGCTCCATATGTATTGATCAAACAACTATATTATACGTTATATTTTAGAATAATTTTACTAGAACAAAGTGAAGGCAGCATCTGAGGCAGCGCACGTGACTGTTATCTTATCTTAGCTTCATCGCGTTCATTAGCGCGCCATTAACCCTGCGTCAATTCCTCATTTTCAATACTGGTCACCTTCATGAAAATAGACAACCATCTGACGATTTCAATCGTTAAAATAAACCCACGCAATCATGGAGATGAGATCGGAGGAAGAGAAGCAAGCTGCTGCGAAAGCTGAATATGAGAAACTTCTTACGATGCGATCTGGTGGTACCTATATACCACCTGCGCGCCTACGAGCTCTACAATCCCAAATCACCGACAAATCGAGCAAAGAATATCAGCGAATGGCCTGGGAAGCTTTGAAGAAGTCAATCAACGGTTTAATCAACAAAGTTAATGTCTCAAACATAAAACATATCGTGCCAGAGTTATTCGGAGAGAATCTGATTAGAGGTCGAGGGTTGTTCTGTAGGAGCATTATGAAAGCCCAGGCTGCCAGTTTACCATTCACACCAATATATGCCGCCATGGCTGCGATCGTCAATACGAAACTTCCCCAGGTTGGAGAGCTTCTGTTGAAGCGTCTTATAGTGCAGTTTAAAAAAGGTTTCAAGAGAAACGATAAGGCTGTTTGTCTTTCTGCCACCACATTCATTGCCCATCTTTGCAATCAACAGGTAGCAAATGAGATTGTCGCGGCCCAGATTCTGTTGTTACTTCTCAATAAGCCGACGGACGATAGTGTGGAAATTGCGGTTGGATTGACGCGTGAGGTGGGTCAACATCTCGAAGAGATGAGCGGGCCTATTGCTCTGGCGGTGTTCGATCAGTTCAGGAATATTTTGAATGAGGCAGATATTGATAAACGGGTGCAATATATGATTGAAGTCCTTTTCCAAGTTCGAAAAGACAAATATGAAGATAATCCTGCGATCAAGGAGGAGTTGGATCTCGTGGAGGAAGAAGATCAAATCACACACCGCATGGCCTTGGATGATGATATTGACGTCCAGGATGGATTGAATATTTTCAAATTCGATCCTGAATGGGAACAAAACGAAGAATTATACAAACGACTTAAAGCGGAAATTCTTGGAGAGGGAAGTGACGATGAGGATGATGACGACGAGGAAGATGATAGTGAGGATGATGAGGAGAAAAAAGAAGAAAAGGCTTTAGAAATTAAGGATCAGAGCAATACGGACCTCGTCAACCTACGACGAACCATATATTTGACTATCATGTCTAGTATCGACCCCGAAGAATGTTGCCACAAGCTGATGAAAGTTACGCTACCACCCGGACAAGAGCCAGAACTTCCTTCCATGGTTATTGAGTGTTGCTCCCAGGAGAGAACATACTCAAAGTTCTATGGACTCATTGGGGAGCGGTTTGCAAAGATAAATCGTCTTTGGACCGATCTTTTTGAACAATCATTTGCAAAATACTACGATACCATACATCGTTATGAAACAAACAGGTTACGAAATATCGCGAGATTTTTTGGGCACCTTCTTAGCTCCGACGCTCTTGGTTGGCACGTTTTGTCTATTGTACACCTTAATGAAGAAGAGACAACATCAAGCAGCCGTATATTTATCAAAATTCTTTTCCAGGATCTATCAGAAGCAATGGGCATGGCAAAATTGCAAGCTCGCTTAAAGGACGATATATTGCGACCTTATTTCGAAGGATTGTTCCCTCGAGACAACCCTCGCAACACAAGGTTCTCTATCAATTACTTCACAAGTATTGGGATGGGTGCTATCACTGAAGAGATGCGCGAATACCTACAGAATATGCCAAAGCCAGCGCTGCAAACCTTACCTGCGGCTGCTGCCGATGCTACATCGGACTCAGGAAGTTCCGTTTCTAGTTATTCATCATATACAGGTTCTTCCTATTCAAGATCTCGTTCTCGTTCTCGCTCTCGCTCCCTCTCTCGATCCCGGACTCGATCTCGGTCTCCATCCCGCTCTCCATCCCGCTCTCCATCCCGCTCTCCATCCCGCTCTCCATCCCGCTCTCCGTCTCGCTCTCGTTCCCGGACTCGGACCAGGAATCGGTCTTTATCTCGGTCTTTATCTCGGTCTCGGTCTCCATCTCGTTCTCGTTATCGCTCTCGTTATCGCTCTCGGACTAGGTCACGGTCCCGCTCCCCAAGCCGATCACGCTCCCCGCCTAAACGATCTCGCAACGGCGATAGATACTCGCGATCGCTCTCCTCAGAGCGGGCACCAAAACGACAGCGACGATTGTCCGATTAGATTTCGATTAATCGGACACTACAAATTGCATTTGCTTAATAAGGGGGCTTTCTGGGAACGGGGCGTGATACAAATGTATTTAATTTTAATACCCAGTTCAATCAAGAACAGTGAATTTCAATCAACTTCCAACACACTGCTTGTAAATTTGTGATAATCGGAGATGATTCAAGCCGAATTACTTTTCGGCGCCACCAGCGCCCGTATGACAACTTCATTACTTGAGTCAGCTGTTGGAGGTATACTTTGCGATCCATATGATTTCCCGATGAACATCAAGGATCCGTCCCATAGGCTCGGGGGTACCTTTGGAGAATCAATGGTCGCGTGAACTATGGCAAATATAATCCCGAGGCAGAACGCTCACTTTTTACATGTTTTAGCAGGTCAGTGTAGTTGCTTCAACGTCTACGGTTGTGTGTATAACCTCTGTACTGGTAGTACGAAGATATCCCAGACCTCGAGCTTGTAATAGTTGGCTGATAAATCTAGTGATCCGTGTTTTGTGCAATTCTCACAACACTGTAGGTAGGCTTTTGTCATGCACGCAAAGATGTGCCCCTTTCTCACCGACGGTAAATCCTTGGACGTATGCAGGTTACCATTCCAATACTTACGATTCCGAAGTACGAAGTAAACATCCACCCAAACACTTATATAAAACTTACTCACAAACTTTAATAAGGCTAATTCAGGAATATCCGAATAAGGATATACACAACAAGGTTCAAAATTAACTCAACCGGGTACTTTAGTCAAACTCACTCAGTGGAGATGTTGAATCTGAGTAAGCAAGGCCTTGTATGTGTAAGCGTTTTTAACTTCCACCAATGTTCCCAACCCCCTGACTCCCAACCGCCAAAAATGATCACCACCACAACCCACCAACCACCAACCACCAACCATCAATCACACCACACCACACCACACCACCCCATTTCCTGAGAAGAAGAGGTCATGATGGCTAATCCAAAACCTTAACACAAAATCAACAGCCTTTCCTTTCTTCGTATCCTGGTTGTTGTTGAACCCGCTCGTCAAACGGTCTACGGGATATACTACTACTCCGTAGGTATTCAACCATCTAAATGCCTACCTAATCTACCCGCAAATTGCCAGGCCAAGACTCCAAGCAACTACCAGATGCTGTACCACTGTCATATTGTGCATCAAAATTGGCCCTTGTCATGTTAGATATACTAGTCTCGTAAGGACAAAGCCAGTCAGCCACGAAATATAAACCGTTCGAGGGACTCTCGGAGGGAGGGATCAAATGATTCCCATCACATCCATTGATGCATTAGCAACTTCAACCCTTTCGATGCAGCCCGATTCCCGTCTATTCGGAAAATTGATACAAGGGATTTGGAATCAGCCAAGGGTAAAACACAGAAATTCATAATCCATGGATTTATTTCGCCCCCTCTTCCGTTTTGCATTACCTCACTTTCTTAACGAATCACCATGAACGTTCAACCGACTAGAACACCTTACCGAGTGTATTGTAATATTGAGCAAAGATCCTCAGCGCGTCAGCACAGTTTGTAAGGCTAACGCTGCTTCACACACTCCCTGCCCAAACCCACTTTCTCTTATGAATGTATGAATGATATTACTCCCGTACGAGCCTGTCCTTTCAGATTCGATAGAGAAAAGCTATGTAACAGAGCTTAGAATGCACAGTGCACAGTGCACAACGTCCTTCATCCAATTGTTCCAAATCATGGCCGGCGTCGTATCTCTCTAAAGAAATTTGTCATTTGACTACTTGCTTTTCTCACTTCTCCATCGTACAGTATATATTTCAGATGGTGCGTAGACAGTACCTGGATCACAGGGCTATCCGCTGCATACGCCAGAGTATATCACTTTCCTTAACTTTTATACAGAAAACATGTAAGCAGTGATTTCTTATCATGTCTGGCGACAACTTCTTGAAATTCCTCCAGATCACTGATGATTATTGTGATATAGACTTTATCGGTAGAACAAATCTCCCATGCACGCGCACCAGTTTGAATTCGGAAACGACGGTACCATTGTTTGAAATCAGAAGGACGGATGGATCGGCCATTGTCTACAGTCCCAGTAATATAGTGGTATTGGCAGTGCGGTGATGGATGCACGATCAACGGAGTCTCCCCAATCGTATCGATCAGGCATTAAACGTCCTTGGGAAGACGATACGAAAACACCGACACAACAAAATGGAAGTAGTAATAGTTGGCATCGCGGAACATTACCACCAATTGAAGCTGGACCACTTTTACAGTATCCAGTGTATGACAATTCAGGAAACTGGGCGACACCGAACAACCAACATACTCAGAATGGCGAAAGTTCGGTCGTGAAAAGGTCGCGTTACGAGGGGGGTGATTACAAAGGAGTAGCGAGGGTGGATCTAGACGCATGTGGGAAAATGCCCCCATCGCAGGCACACTGTAGGTGTTTAGGACTGCCTAAAAATGTCATGTTTAATCACTAACTCAGCCGTTACTCTTTAGATTCAAATGGATATGGTCATGATTATAGTCAGACGATCCAGAATGCTTCTACTCTTGTTCAATCTCCTCGATTGACCGTAAGGGGCCGGGTGGACTCCCCGCAACATATGTCTAATATATGTCGTCAGTGCAGGCGGCAAACGACATTTGATCGCGAAGAAGAATCTTCACCAGAGTGTTGCGAGCATTGCCAAAAGAACCCTGAAATTGCCCTTGTTACACAAGCTTGCAGCGTTGGGCTTACTCAGCTAGCGGAGACGCTCCGTTCGGGTATAGATTCCGAGAAGCGTGGTATCAATCCAGTAAGTACCAGCAAAGTGCTTGGTTCTTGTTGTCAAAAGGGTTCATTCCATTCATACTCATGTGTAATCTTTCGAGTCATGCTTACAAAATATTAGGCCCACTCACAGTTGCGTCTTCTTCCTTCTGGAGATCCACCTCCAATGATTGACTTTGGCCTAAAACAAACACTCCACTGGATACTCACCAAGATAAACAAAGTCAACGAGCTTGCCGATAAATTCGTTCAGCAGATCCCTCCAGGGTCTTCAAAAGCCCCCATCAAAAAGGGTGCCATTCACAGTGTGACTCCATATGATCCTTTAATCATCATGAAACGACGTATTGAGGATGACCACCAGAGAACTACATTGAATGACATGGGCACATCTGATTCTAGAATGCACCAAAGACGCAGGTCTATGGCTAAATCACTCAGCGAAGGACTTCCACCCATAAGAACTCAATCTCCCAACTACACCCATGTGTCAACCGACAATACGAGCCGGAGGCTTTCGAGTATGAATCCTCCTTCAGCCCCAGCTCGACAATTGCCATCTCCACCAGGACGAGCTTTTCCGTCTCCATCTCCGACCTCGGTCAGCTTCTCATCTCCTTCAGGGTCGACATCATATACGGGTCTATCTGGTGGCCCCTCTCAATCATCAAACTCCCACACTACTAACCATATCCTACCTCCCATTACAAACGCACAATCATCTGATAGCGCATTGCAAGTCCATACAGCAGCGCTTCAACATGAGGTTTCTATCCAAAAGATCGCATTATCATCGTTGCAGAGTGAACACGATAAGCTCCTTGCTGCTTTTTCGCGGTCTCAAAGTCGAGCGAGCGCCCTCGAGAAGAAGCACGAGGTTTCTGACATTGAAATTTTTAGCCTTACCGAAGAGAAAACGCGATTACATGCCCAAGTTCTCGAATTGGAGGGAGACGTCGAGGATCTTGCGAAAAGTAGGGACACCTACCGACAAGCAGCGGTACAAGAAGGAGCACAGTACGTTGAGATTGTGAAGATGGCTAGTCAACTAGAAGAAAAGACTGGGGAAGAGAGAAAGAACTGGAATAAGCTGAGACTTGAAATGGAGCAAAGAATTGAACAATTGAGTACTGGGATGAAGGCTCACACCGAAGATGTTGGCGCAAAGTCACTCGTACCAGAATGCATTGAGAAAAATGTGCCTTCATCCAGTGAGTACAATGATGAAGGATCAACCGGTATAGCATCGACAGAATCGACTAGTGACGGACAACTTCGCGCAAAGGATGACCAGGCCAATCTTCTCAAAGCAGAAATCGAGCGCTTGCAAAAGCGTTGTGAAGAGGTGGAAGCTGCATTGAAAGCTGTCAGGCAGGAAAGTCGCTCAATGGAAAGCATTATGGAAGCGTTGAGTAGAGCTGGAAAGGGCATTTTGCAAAAGGTTGAAAGCGTGTCTCTGAGCCCCGAGACACCCCCGGAACCTCAATTAGATTCACAATCCAAGCCAGAAACCGATCGGCTAATACTTGAAGAATAAAATTCTTACATGATACACGACATTCAATACAAGTAAGTAATCTGCGATATGTGTTTGTTCACATCATTGCTGGCGTAGAGCAGATTTCACTCATACATCCGTGTTTGAATGTGGGTTTATGGATCTGTGTATATGGATAAACTCAGGTGATTCAATGCGTCTTACAAGACATAAAAAGGCCTTTCTATAGATGATTAGATATTTTTGATCTGGACATCAAACAATGATTCTAATATTCAATACGGGTTATTTTACTGAACATCACATGAGATTTACGGAAACACTATCAAAGAGTAATATAGTATAGATTTTTGAGTGATCCGGTGAATTCCACAATATACAAGTACTATGTCAAAATCATTAGACAGACTGATATTTTTCAAACATCAACGTTGCCGCTACGATATGGGGATATGAATATATTATTTTTAGTCGTTCTGCGTTTATCAAGTCGTAACTCATTGGTCATAACCCCATGTGATCCACTATTATTATCACCCAATGATATTGTCAAAGCTCTGTTTCCTGCGACAACTCTCCTACAAATCTGTAACATCTTGAATCCTCCTCGACCTCTCATCGACCGCTCTCCTCCAGCTTCCCCCCGCCAGCATTCCTCACTGAGCCTCAAAACATGGGCTCATAGTAACACCATGCCAAGGATTTGAAACGCCAGTAGACTGTCTCATATATCTTAGGTTTTTAGAGGAGAGTGTCTCCTTCTCTCCCGTCGTAGGTTTTAATCTCTTGTTTCTTTCTCTCTGTCTGTATATCGTACACTGTTTGCATTGTCGGAAAATCGTGCTACTACTTGCCTTCTGTTGACCGGATCGAATTCTCCACCCTTTCGAGATAATTGACAATTAATCATTTAAAATTTTCACATACAATTGACATCGATCAAGTCCATCATTACTATCCTTCCGAATCACACATCCGCCTAGCTTGCCGATTCAAGTCTCGTCTTCAATCTTGGACCCTATCCTCATCTCCATACTCAATCTTTACGGAAGCACCATAAGCGAAAATGGGACAAGCATTCTCTGGACCTAATGCCTTCAAATGGTTGAGATTCACGCCTAAAGCCACCGCTGTTCTCCAAGCAAACCCATTTCTTTTCGTCCAGTTGATTCTGGTGTTGATTGGATTGAACGTGTTGGGTGGAATTGCGTTTTGGATTCACTACGAAACAAACAAGCCATATGCGAAGCCGAAAGTTAAGAAGGATGCGAAGAAGTAAAAAATGGTCCTGGGGTGGGATGGTCACTCGAGAGAGGTGCTGTGAATGGCGAGGCATTAAGGGCTCTGCATAGCGGAATCGCAGGGAGGAGTTTTGGGATTCGAGGAGGAGCTTGAGTGATATGAGACAATTCGACGAAGAATATGTGCTGGGCACAGGATGGATATGGATATGCTATAAGATTGACGAATAATATGTGGAGTAGTTGGGTCTGGATGGAGAATTCTGGGATATTGGCCGAGGGAGAATGATACCTATATGTTTGGTTTTAGGTGGGTGGCTGCTAGAATGGAAAGGTTATATCCTGATGACGTTAGTTGTTTATACATTTGCTTCTCGAGTGTTTAGCATTCATACATCATTTTTTGCTTTCTTCGCCAAATTTCGAAATGTAATGCAAAATAGAATATCTTCTTTCTCCATACCTTCATGTATGACATTGCTTAGTGTTCCGTGTTTGCGTGCACGCATGCCATCCATTGAGAAACCAAACCGATGGCGTCAGGTGTATGTATCCTGCAATATCACTTCTCCAACCCTTCAGCTCTACTGTCAACTGAGTTTCTACGGGTGAGAATCATAGGATTGGGGCTTCAGACATGCGTGTTATATCAATACTCATATATGTATATCGTTTCATACACCCACCCACATTCGCATCATCTCGGCTTTCGTTTCAAATGCATGTATCCATCCAATCTCAATTATTCAAACACATTCACGCATCTGCGTTTGACAGAACCCTAGAACACGTTGATAATACTTCAATTTGAACACTCCAAATTTAAACATCCAATATCCATCCTATTGAGCTCCAATATTAATATTACTCTCGTCGTACGTTCTATAGCCAGCTGTTCATTACTGAAGATTGAGATGTCAATCTAGTATATTTCACTCGAGATTTCGGCGAAAAGTTCTTGATTGTCTAGAAAGGTATCCTATCTTGAGTGATACTGCACAACGACTTACCAGTGGAATACCCGTGATTTACGATCATGAAAGATTACATCTCAGTCGGGACTTTAAAAGTCTATCACCGAGGTCTGTAAAGTTTGGATATCTCTGCGGCATTGGACAGGGGGATATTACAACATGATTAGTACATCCATTTTCATCCCCTTCACCTGTCACATCGATACGGGAATGGACCCAAATATCTACTTCTAGTGGTCAAGAATATTCTATTTGATAGTGAACGCTGAAGAACTATTAATCGCTGTTTCCGCCCACCACGTCAAATCATGTACATACTAAAGTTCTCCCTCCTATTGTAACTCTCTCTGTGTCATAGTCATAGCAAAATCCGGCACATCACTCCCGATATGCACAGCATCAGCCCATGGTAGTTTCCCCTGTAGCCATCTCCTCCCTAAACTCCTTTCATTCATCGCTCTGGCCATATCTTTAAGTGGCTGTGACAGGCGATCATTCAATTTACAAACCATATCCAATTCTTCAACAGCGTACTCATGTGCACGCTCCTTGCTTGCAATCTCCTGCCGTATGATCACGAGTTGTTCGTGCAACCAATGCATTCTCTGAGATATCATGCGTTCTTCTTCAGTCATGATTGGAATATCAAAGTGTGGACCATCCTTGCCGCTTCTTGGTAAACGTGCAGCTAAGGAGTGGAATTCTTGCTCGGCTGGTATGATTGCAGATTTTAAATATGCCACTTGCTTCTGTAGATGATCGAGTTCGAGGCATAGATCTTGGGTTGATTTTGTATTTTCATGTGCCTCTGGAAGCGCGGTCCTTGGAGAGAATCCATATGGCTGATCATAGCATTGGTCGAGATATGGCTGCGTGAAAGAATCGGCAGGGAATGTGCGGGAGATGTATCTCCTCGGTTTGGAAGTTTGTATTGTTCTCAGCTCTAGGGTCTTTTCTGGAGCCTCCCATATCTCGGATCTGAATTGTCCGCGATTCCTTCGAGAGCCAGTCTTGTTGTCAGGAGGTTGCTTGCCCGGTCTATGTGTGAGATTGAAGATGTTGTGATCTCCTCTCCATTCAGAAACTTGTGGGCACAACCCACGATCTTGAATGTTCGTGGTATTCAAGACTTGTTCGTTTGCCGAGTTATCTGTAGTCGAGATGTGTCCTAGGTCACAGGGAGGATATTCATCTTGTAAACAATATGGAGGCGGGGGCACTGATGATAGTAGACTACCATGAGTGTCTGGAGGTAGGCTGTGTCCTTCCAGTTCAGACCTATGTGAGTCTCGTCTGAGTGTTCTCACATCAAATTTGTGTTTGTCTGGCATGGCGATGTGGCACTACCAAGACCCAACTGCTTTTATGCGTATAGTATGATGGTGTGATTGGAAGAGATAATATAGGTTCCAGGGCTGGCTGCGGTACAAGCTTCCATAAGATGATAGCGATGGGGGATAAAATTCTATTATTCCGCGAAATATTTTGAAATACATATGTCGTTAATAGTCAAGGGAATAAGATGATCAATGATTTTAAAAGATGTGAGGTCGCTGAGTTTTTGATGAAAGGTGATGGAGAATAGGTGTGATGAAGTATGTAGAGTCAACTAGAAGTAGGATGGGAATGATGTCTGCAGTGGTGAAATTATTGTAATGGCACTTGCCAAACTTGCTAGTAAGGCGAATCTAAGGTGTAGGGCAGGAACATTACAGAAAGAACGGTCTTGGGAGTTCAGGTTTGCTCTGTAATACAAGGAAAGATGAATTTAAATAGAAATGAATGTGGGTTCTGAGTTGATGTACAGCGACAATAATTATAAATATTATGTTGTGACGATTCCAGGGAATATAATTAAATCTATTCTGTACGTTTTAAGCAAATACTCTCTCGCCCTTCTCTTGTCATTTGCCTATCCTGACCAGCTGTTTGAAGTTGTAAGGATAGAAAATCGAAAGCTCATTTGGTACTGCTATCTGGTTACTTGCTGGCTGACACCTTTCTTCGATCGCCTTTGACGGCTGTGGCTGCTTTCTTCTCCACCTTGGTGAAAATTGGCCCAGTAGAAAAGATGTTAGGCAAGAATTTGCCAACCCGTGCTTGGTACTCCTGATAATCTGGATATTTCTTCGCAGTTATGAGCTCGGTCAACCAAGTTGAGGCCTGGAAAAGAATCAAGTACGACATGGCACCGGCAAATGTCCAGTTGAATAATACTTCACTAGTCCAGCAGCCCCACATATAGAGTACTACCCATATAGTCTGTTCAGCGGCGAAATTTGGGTGTCTGCTGAAGGACCAGAGACCAGAGGTCACAAAGCCGCGGTCGAGCGACTCTTGATCGAATCCTCCTTGTACCTTGGCGGTCTTCAAGTATTGTTGCTTCGCGGTTTGATAGTCTAATTTTGAGAAACATTAGCTATGCAACAGAAAAGATATCTATAATCACATACTCCACTGTTGTCCATCTGCAAAATACTCAAACACAACAAGAGTGATAAGACCTCTCGAGAATATCAAATCTGCAGTCGTCCACGGTACTCCATATCGTGCAGCTAAGAGCATAACATATGATGGCGTTGCAACTAGAAACAGCAGAATGCTTTGTGCCAATGATATGAAGACGATATTGAAGACGAAGAAGAGTGCTGGAGGAACGTTTCGTCGGACAATCTCCCTAAGAAGTGGTTAGCCCTAAATTCATACCCATCAAGGAGAGACATACCAGCGATAATCTTCGGATCCAATGCTATAGCCACCCTTTCTCCAGTAATTATATGTCAAGCGTAACTGTTGTTTGTCAGAACCAGATTCCTGAATCGAGAGGGGTCCTACATACACTCCATATTGTACTGAAAGCGAGGATATTGTCTAGTCGCCCTGTTGGTAGACCAGAAAGGTGTGCATAGATGGCAAAGTGGGCATTATATATGGTAGGCAAGATACTCCAGCATCTGTCGACTTGAGAATAGTTTTTGTTGACCTCCGAAACCAATAGAAATACAGGCGTTAAAAACAACGAGAATGCGAAGGCAGTTATGAGTGGATTCGTAGCCAGATAAAGATTTCGAAGCTCGGTAGGATTTGAATATGATTGAAGTACTTGCTGAGGTAAATCGTACAATTGTGGCAGATATGGCAAGACTGTTTTCGTGATGTTTGAACAATCCTCGATTGCTTTAATGACTGGCAACGCCATGCTTGTGGCAAGGTAATTTATCTGTTGTTCGATATCGAGTGAATCAAAGGGTGGTAGTTAGCTCTTTCAGGCGAACTTCGAATATATCCTCGAAGTTACAAAGAATTGATGTTTGCCAGAGAGGCGAAAGAGGTAGAGTTGACGGAGTGAATGGAGTGAAGCTTGAATTTTGAAGCTCTGGATGACATCGTTTTTCATTTAGCACTTAGCGGGGATATATGTACCGACATGGATTTATGGAGCTACAGCCAATGAACGAACTCGATGAGCCACGGCTTCATTGAATAATTGTATAAATACCTACCTACCTAGGTATATATAAATGCATAACTATTATGCAAGTCAAACGTCTGGGCACCTGCAGCTATTTCGTATTCGGATCCGTCCATTATAAAATCTCATCAACCTGGAATTGATGGCAACAGCACAGGCATCAATTTCTGTACATAATCTTTACTTACTGATACCGAGTAATACAAAAACTCTGTAAATAGGTAGTCTCATGATCCTCTTGCAAGTCCATACCCCAATAGATCATTTCTATGCAGCTGAGTAGCAAAACAATGCTTATAGACCAAGACGTTCGTTCGTTCGTGTCACAGAGGAAAGTATTATAAGAGCTTCATCCACAAGGCCTCGTAGACTTTGGAGTCGGCGATGGAAAAGAACAACACGTGAATGATCACGCGTGATTCTACTATCAAGATGGTTGCAAAGATTCTTTGCGTTGCAGAGAAACCTTCGATTGCCAAAGCTGTAGCTAATCATTTAGCTGGGGGCAATGCTCAAGCGGTAAGTCGCAATGTCAAATATTGCTACATTACAACTATCGTTATCTAACGATCCAATAAGGCAAATACTCGCAACAAATACATCAAGAATTACTCATTCACCTTCGATTTTGGTGGACAATGGGGTAATTGCAATGCGGTTATGACTTCGGTCATGGGGCATCTTACCTCTCTCGATGTTGCTCCAACTCACAAAGGTTGGACTGACCCTCCACCCCAAGAACTCTTTTTTCGAGCCAAGGTCATCGAATCTGTTGCTGAGGTGATTTGATCTCACCCTTTGCTGGGCAATTTTTCCACTGATGCATTTCCATAGGATAAGAAAGATATCGCACAGAATATCGAGGCTCAGGCAAGAGGAGCTAAGGCTCTTTTCATATGGACTGATTGTGATCGTGAGGGAGAGCATATTGGCGGTGAAGTGAGAGCTCAAGCACTCAAAGGCAACCCACGAATTGAGATCAAGAGGGCAAGGTTCAGTAATATTGAGCGAGCGTAAGTGAATGAATCTACACTGTGATTTCAGATTTGCAGCTAATTACAAAAGGCATGTAATTCAAGCAGCTAAAAATCCTGTCGATTTAGATCAACGTCAAGTAGACGCTGTGGCTGCTCGTATAGAACTTGATCTAAGGATTGGGTATGCATTCACACGATTTCAGACAACCAACCTTCAAAAGTTAGGAGGGCCACTAGCAGAAAAAATGTTGAGCTACGGTAAACAACTTCATTCCCATCTTAATGAGGCACTCGCATACTGATAGTGGTGTAGGTTCTTGTCAGTTTCCCACTCTTGGTTTCGTCGTTGATCGATATTTCAAAGTAAAGAACTTCGTACCCGAACCATTCTGGAGCATCAAGGTTACACACAGTCGAGACAATATGAATGTCATCTTCAATTGGAAGCGCAATCGTCTATTTGACCGAGCAGTTGTGATCATATTATTTGAACGTTGTCTTGCTTCAAAAATTGCTAAAGTCACCAAGGTACAGGAGAAACCGACTAGCAAGTGGAAACCTCTTCCTCTAACTACCGTCGAGCTGCAGAAAGCTGCTAGTCGTTGGCTGAATATGAACAGTCAGGTGGCGATGACTGCAGCAGAGAGCCTATACACAAAAGGTTTTATTAGTTATCCGAGAACGGAGACTGATCGATTCGACAAAGGTATGAATTTGAGAGCGCTAGTTGAAAAGCAAGTTCAAGATAATCGATGGGGACCATTTGCTCGGAATTTGGTAAATGGGGGATTTCATTGGCCTCGAGAAGGCCGAAATGATGATAAGGCACATCCGCCTATTCATCCTGTGACATACGTTGCATCCACTGCTTTGAGGCCAGAAGAAGCTCGGGTTTACGAATTTGTTGTTCGGAGGTTCCTAGCCTGTTGCTCAGAAGATGCTAAAGGGCAGGCAACTGACGTGGAGCTTGAATATGGAGAGGAAACTTTTCACACGCATGGACTAGTTGTGCTGGCAAAAAACTATCTGGACGTTTATGTTTACGAGAGATGGAACAGCAGTACAACACTGCCAAAATTTACCCTTGGGGAAAGATTTGAACCAGACGAGGCCATGATCACGGATGGGAAAACAACAGCTCCAGGGTATTTAACCGAGCCTGATCTTATTGCTCTAATGGACGCAAATGGAATCGGGACTGATGCAACTATGGCCGAGCATATTGCTAAAATCAAAGAGCGTGAATACGTGTTTACAAGGCCCAAGGCAGGTGGGGCCGCCGCCGGAAATAATGATGACAACACGCCAGCTGCAGGCCGAGGAGGACGTGGCGGACGCGGTGGAGGGGGTGGAAGAGGGGGTAGAGGGGGAGCTGCAGCTGCAGATGCGGGGGGCAGAGGTGGAGTGGAAGAGTTCATCCCGACTACACTTGGAGTCGCCCTAGTGGAAGGCTATGATAACATGGAGTTTGAAGTCAGCCTCAGCAAGCCGTTTCTGAGAAAACAGATGGAGCTTAAGATGAAGGCCATTTGTGAAGGACAGAAAACACGTCAGGCCGTTGTTCATGAAAGTTTAACGCAATATCATCGGGTGTTTCTTGACTCCACGGAGAGGTTAAGTGTTTTGAAAGCAGTAAGTGACATCATGACTCCATTCACACGGCCCCACCATCACCACAATCTCTAACATATATTGTTTAGGCATGTAGAAAATATGTACTTAATGGTGGAGCTGGGCGTTAGCAATACCCATTTGATTTTGGCTTGGCCGGTTGTTTGCAATTGATTGCATAATTAGCGTTCTCCATCCCATCTTCACGTCGATGTGTCGGGTCAGTCTATGGTGCTTCCTCGGCTTAACATGACGGACTGGGCATAAAAGTATCACAAAGAGAGAATTGTGCGGAACGCAAGCTTTCGAGTTATTTAACGAGATTGGACAACTCGAACATTGCCCAAGCATACAACAGTTTTGCTGTTCTTTCCTTCCAAAAGTCCGAATTTCGGTAAGCTCAATGTTTAAAAGATTGTGCGTGCCACTTCGCTACCCGTACTTCCCCGGATCGCGTACCTCTCTCAGCAACCTCTTCCTTGGAGAAGCACGATAGCATTCGAGTGGCTGAGGAAAGATGTATGAAAGTTGCATTAAATCTTCCGGACATGTGAATTTAGAAATCCCAACCTAGAAAACAATTGGAGTTTCGCCGGTTTCGCAATTCTCGTCTGGCTCTTCCGGGTAAAGTTCACGGAGTCATAGTGTAGTTAAGAAATCGTTATCAACTTATCAAGATATGATTTGTGGAACGTGGGGGATGGTACTATGGTAGTGGTGGTTTTTACCACACGAAATGGGAAATCTTTTATTACGTCTGTATCTTCGAGGAAAAAGTGGAGAAATCATCAACTACGAGTTTATAAGTCATGACTGCCAATTTGCCAAAGCAACAATTTGAGTTTACAATGAATACGCGTAGGATTTAGTGTTTTATACTAATGGTTCGAGAATGTCCGCTGATCAGGTACTGGCGTTGATGCAGAATCCAATGAAGATGAATTTGAAAGAAACGTGAATGGTTCTTCTCTCTAGGTTGTGCTTTTACAAGATACTAACCAAGGCATACGCAGCAGTCCTTACTCTTGGTATGGAATGGTCGGATGGTCCCTTAAAAGTCGATCTTTTGGGGCATTTTATCCGAGGCAATAAGCTGCCGTTTCCCTTATCGACTAGGAAAGTTAGGGTTGGAATGGATTGATTCAAATATTCTAGTGTGTGCGTGGAAGAATGAATGCGTGGTATGTACGGACGGACACTTGTTAAAGTCCGTCGATCACTTGGAGAGGGGGGCAATAGGGCTTTAGACGAGGGCAATGGACATGACAGCTAGGGTTTAGATACCAGATAACCTAGTTTTTGATACCACACATTGATATGGAAAGTTGTAAATTAAGGAATCCTTTGATCTGTACAGTGAGTTATTACCAAATGTTATTATTATTAGTATTACTGTAAAGGCTGTATGATGTTGATAATGTGAGGTAAGTTTCTTTTATCAGCATGTGCGGCTGGCTAGACACCTGGTTTCTTAATGCGCCACACGAAGACTCAGCAAAGAGTAGAAGCGAAAGTACAGTCAGGATAATGTTGGCAGAAAATCCTACCTAGTAGTTACCAGCTCATATGGATGAGATGAGGTAGATGAGATATGTACGAAGTCGTCAATTATTCTCCAAGGTGTTCCTACTTGCTCAGGTGAGCCCAAATGTATGCATGAGAAGATACTGGTATGACCTTAGTATTACATACATACCTACCTACTTACGCTTGGTATGACTTGAGCAGGTTATTTTGAGGGAATTCAATATAAACACAAATCAATATAAATCCGGTTTTCGATGTTAGTAATATCCTACTGCGTTCTGACACTCGTATAGTCAGAGGCAAAATGACAAAGTGCTGAGAGGAGGCATTGATTGCTTGCCTTTCCATGGGGACAAGCCCCCAAACCCCCATAGCTCGCTGCGCTCGATATCAAACTTTTGTGTTAGTTATCTAGTCTAGTCTGCCTCCACGGCAGTGGCCCTCGGAGAGCCAGCGGAGCGTCATTTCTTTGATAACTACCACCTACCACCAGTGAACTTTCTCAAATATCTAATACCTAGTACGTACCAGTGACTGTACCAGTGACTGTACCAGTGACTGTACCAGTGACTGTGCTATGAATGCAACGAGTATGATGTACACGGCAGAGAA